CAAGTCTCACAATGAAGACATTACTGGGCCCACTGGAGCAAACTGATGAACAACGGGAGGACAGTGTTTTTTTTTTTTTTAACATGTTATAGGTTGAGCCTCGTGTGCTTATATATATAACTGTTAAGAAAAGTATTTCCCTCTAAGATTTGTTGCCTCCCACTTTAAACCCCATCAAATGCGGTGCAGTACTCTTGGAGTGCAGGTGGTGTGAGGTATGAGTTGTCCAGAAATACATTGACTTCTGGGTGAGGCTCAGCCCAAGCGTGTGGAGAGTGAGCCTGGTGTGGTTGAGTTCTGGAGGTTTTTGGCTGCTGGGGCTGGTCCCTTGGGGCGGCGAGGGCTCTCACCCGCCCCCCTATGGGGCACCCCAAGTGAAACAGCCTGGCACAGGGTCGGGCAATGTGGTTATGGCGTGTCAGAAGCTGTGAGTCTTGCAAATTCTTTCCGGAGGTTTTTTGTTTGTTTCTGGGCTACACCAAGAACAGTTTGCTTCAGTGCTCAGGGCTTAGTGACTCTGGCTCTGTGCTCAGGAATCACTCCTGGCGGTGCAAGCCCCTTTTCAAACACTCCCTTTTCCCCAACCTCCCTTTTTCAGGGACAATCTCAGAGTTTTTCTTCTGCTCACTCACCATCTCATTTCAGGGCTTCCACACAGCAGGCAGTCCTCAGTGTGCTCTTCCTGCCCCTTTCTCTGCAGTCAAAGGGTCTTAAGAGGCTGACAGGGCCCAAACTTTCCTGAAAGAGTTGCAGGAAGCACTGTTCTGCCCCTGAGCCCTCCTGGCCTTGACAGTGTCTCTCTTACCCCCCTTGAAAGGATGCCTCTTTCCTGGGTCAAGGCTGAAACTAGCTGGGTTGGGAGGAAAGAAGGAAGGAAGGGGGGTGGATGGGTTTGGGGGGGATCACGAGGCAGACTACACTTTTTATTTTCTGCAGACTGCCTTTTTTTTTTTTAATGACTGCTTGAAAAGCACTTTGAAAGGAGAGAGTGGGAGCCTTCTAGAACAGATGACAGCAGCTGAAGATAAGATTAGGAGAAAAGTAGGCTAGTTGCTCCAGAGCCTGACTGTGCTGTCTACAACTGTCTAAGGAGGGTTAGGGAGAGAGGGAGGGGGAGGGAGGATGAGAGAGAGAGAGAGAGAGAGAGAGGGAAAGAGGAGAAAGTGGGAAGGAAGGAGAGAGAAAGAGGGAGGGAAGAAGAGCGAGAGAAAGGGGGAGGGAGGGGAGGAGAGAGGGGAGAAAGAAGAGAGAGGGGGGAGGGAGGGAAGGAGGGAGAGAGAGAAAGTGGAGGGAGGGAGAGAGAAAGGGGGAGGGAGAGAGAAAAGGGGAGGGAGGGAGAGTGAGAAGGGAGGGAGGGAGGGAGGGAGGGAGGGAGAAAGAGGAGAGGGGGGAAAGAGAGAGAGAGAGAGAGAGAGAGAGAGAGAGAGAGAGAGAGAGAGAGAGAATGATGTTAGGGCATCTCCAGAATAGAAAAAGCTGCAACTTCACTCTATCATAGGAAGAGTCCATCGTGTTTTATATTCATAACCCAATCCACCATCTCTCTAAGGCTTTATTAGTTTATAAATGATAAAAACTAAGATAGAGACCTGTTTCGCCCCCAAGGCCACAGAATTAATAAATGGCAAATGCCAGCTTTGAGCCGAGTCTGCCAAGCTCTGCAGCTTGCATCACGATGGTTTGGTGGAAGGCGAAGGTTCAGGTCCAGCCCCTGTGTGTTTCTTCCAATTTAGAAAGTGAAACTCCCAAAGACAAGATCTAACTTTTGATCTTTGCTGTTTCCCTCATTCAACCAGCTGTGTCTGGGCCCTCCCTGTCCTGCCTCTGCTGCCACGTCACCAGGTTCTGCCAGGCAGGGGAGAAGTTCAAACCCCCTGACCCCCCCACCCGCTTTTTGTTTGGCTACACCCTGCAGTGCTCAGGGGCTACTCCTGGCTCTGCACATCGAGGAAACTGGTCAAACCCAGGTCTCCCACATGCAAAACATGCTCTCAGCTATCTTTCTGGCCCTCTGGGGGAGCAAACACGGAAACTGTGCTCTGGGGTTCAGCAAGGTCACTGTGAGGCTGGACTGTCCCGGGTCCATGCAGAGGACACTTGCAGCTGGGACCCGAAGGTACCAGACGAGAAGACAGGCAGCCTCTGAGAACTGGAAGAGAGAGCACAGAGAGCCAGGAGCCTGTGGGGTGGGGCAAGAGATGGTCTTGGAGCTCAGGGTGGCTAAGGGGAGAAGGGTGAGGAGGAAAATCGGGCAGGTGCAGTGGGAGAGAAAGGGGGTGCTGTGCCCACAGAGAGCCTTGGGGCTGCACCAGGACCATTCCTAAAGTCTGCCTCTCCCTTTCAACTCATTTTGTTTTTGTTTTGTTTTGTTTTGTTTTCAGTTTTTGGAATCCACACTTGGCAGTGCTCAGGAATCATTTCTGGAAGGCTTGGGGAACCATATGGGATGCTGGGGGATTGAGCCTGGGTCAGCCGCGTGCGAGTAAAGTGGCCTGCCCACTGTACTATTGTTCTGCCCACTGTACTATTGCCCTACCAGCTGCACCATTGCCTACCTGCTGTATGATTGTCCTGCCATTGTCCTATTAACCCTACCCGCTGTACTCTTGCCTTATCTGATGTAGTATTGTCTTAGTTGCTGCACTATTGCCTGACCGCTGTACTCTCGCTTTGGCCCCTCTGCTGAGTTTTGCTCACTTTTCTCCAGCCTGCCCAGAGCAGCCCCTTCCTCCCATCTTTCAGGCCCTTCTGTGAGGTCCCCGCCCCCGAATTGGTCTGGGTTCCAGGCCTCTAAGC